TCACCAATACTAGGAAATTCACTCTCAATGAAATTGACATCTCACGACTCAATTTCAGTCATTCCACCATTAAGATGTTCACCATATATTACATAACCCTTTGAGCATTGTGAGTGTCTAACAAACATTTATTTATTTTCTCTAGGGCCTAATTTTTCATGCTTATAAGTACTGTGAACAAAACCCACACAACCCCAAGGCCACAAATGCTCCAAATCAAGTTTTGCGCATTTCCATAATTCATATGGAGTTGTTGGAACTGACTTTGAAGGGACACAGTTACAGACATAGGCGGCAGTCAAAAGAGCATCCCTAAAAAAAGATATAAGTAGGTTAGCTTGCACCAACATCGATCTAACCATTTCAAGTAAAGTGTGATTCCTTCTGTCAGCTACACCATTTTGTTGCGGAGTACCAAGAATTGATAACGGCTTGCGTATCCTCTTTTTCTTACACAGTACCTAGAACAAATGTAATAAATATTCATGCCCTCAATCTGTTTGAAGGATTTTCAATTTCCTGTCTCTCTGATTCTCGACCAGTGAAACAAAGCACTTGAAGCGATCCAATGCCTCAAAGCGATGTGAGATAAAATGGACATAATTGAATTGTGAATAGTCATCAATAAATGTAAGGAAATAAGAAGTGCCATGACATGCCTTTATATTCATGTTGGAGTGGACTAACTCTAGAGGATATAAATCCCTAGGTGCCTTTCCAAAAGGCTTTCTACAGGCCTTTCTTGCCAAACAAGGCTCACACACGAGAAGACTTACATTAGTAAGATGCCCCAACAGACCTTCTTTAGCTAGTCTAGTCATTCTATTTTTTTCTTTGTAACCAAGTCTAACATGCCAATTAATAAAATTTAATGAATCGTTATCATAAGACATGTAACAATATGAGGGAAAATCCAAATCTAGCATAAAGAAACCATTGGAAAGAAAACCTTGTCTATACAAGACTTTATTTAAATAGAAATCCAACTGACTACCATCAAAATGAAAACAAAAACCAAATCCTAACAAAAAAAATAACTGATAAAAAATTACATTGGACACCAAGTGCATAAAGCATGTCATGCAGGAGTAAAGCGTGCCCCGGACGTGTCTTGAGCTGATAAGAACCAACTCCAAGAATATCTTCTCGAGTTCCATTACCCAAGGTACTAGCCCATAGGTATCTTTCTATAATCCACGAACCCAACTCTTTCATTGGCTATGTGGTGGGTTGTTCCTGAGTCTACAATCCAACCATGGAGAGAATTAGAAACACATGCATGTTAATGAACACAAGTACTTAAAGAGTTAAATAAAAAGTCTACCTTCTTTGCCTCAGGGCATTTCCGAGCAAAGTGACCTAACTTTTCACAATTATAGCACTTGACTTTGATCTTGTCTTTGTTTCCACCTCGCTTGCCTCCGCGACGCTTCATCACATTGCCTTTCTTAGGACCAAGGTTACAAGCTGCACCACTATGTTTTCCTTGTTTGTTGCGCTTAGGCCTAAATGCCTGATGCAACCCAGCTTGGGCGACAAGGATAGTGTAGCGGTGCGTCCTTAGGTACTCCACTTCAAGCTCAAGGTGGCGCGAGATATCAGCAAAAGTCTTGATGTTCTCATATGTGTAAGCACAAGTTTCATTTGCTCACATGAATCAGGCAGAGAACGTGTCACAGCTGTAATTTGCGGCTCATCAGTAAGAACATTACTAGTAGCCCTCAAATCACGTATCATGGCTGACATAACTCTAAGATGCTCAACCATTGAGTGTTTTGGATCCATAGCATATTGCTCAAATTTCAAAATAAGAGCATGCAACCTAGTTACAGATGTGATCCCATAGGTAATTTTCAATTGATTTCACATGTCATGAGCAGTGAGGCTTGTCTCAAACTCTCCAATGAAATCATTGTGCATGCTACTATGCATAGTATAGCGCACACCAATCTCTCTTGACCTATTTCTCATAGGTTTCCAGGTCATAGCAATGTTGGGTAGTGGTCCCTTCCTCAAGACAGATCATAAGGGTGGTCAAAATATTTAAGACTCCTTGTTCATTAAGTAAATATTGAATTTTTCTGTACCACAAGTCATAATTGGACACGTCCAATTTTTCTCCTTTGATGAGGTCAGCAACGACATTCTTAGAGGTCATTTCACCACACTTATTGCATAGCGTTTGACAATTGGCACACTTTGAAATTTTATTCCAAAAACACAATTGGCATACAATATTTTCACTTACATAGAGAAATCGAAAATTTCACTAAGCTAATAATCATCTTCTTTTGTGAGCTAAAATATGATACCCAATTAATTTTTGAAATAAAATTGTTTAAGAGGCACAAAAATCTCTTAATTCCACAGTATTAAATCATGCACACTATATATGAGACCAAAAATACGCCACACAATTTTGCGCATAGGCTCCACTTGAAGCCTTGTTGGTAATATGGTTCAACATGTTAAGGTAATCTTAAAATGTATTGGTGATAGTGAAACACATCCCCTTACATGATTATGGAAAAATACATCCAAAAATAATAACAACCCAAAAGAATCCAAATACATTGATTCTAATAAAAAGAAGGAAAATGAGTTGGACCCCTTCAAGGAGGCAACCCCTTTGACCCCCTCTCTCTCTGATTGGTCAATTTTTTTTTATTTTTTTTTTTTTCAATCACCACCCGCCACGTGTGTGTGGGGGGTGGTAATTGGAGAGGGTCTCAATCACTTCTCTAAAAAGAAATAACTTGAGGATGCCACTTCACCAATACATTTGTAGAGTCTACCTTTAACAATGCATAATAAATAAATAAACATCTGCACCAAAATTACCAACATTACCTCCATCCATCTACACAAACAACATCAATTAAATGAAGGAATAAATAAATGACCATAGGGTGGAGATCAAACCACAATTCCTTCTAAGGAAAAGAGTATAGTCACAAAGATCTAAGACTTCAAAAAAAATACATATTAGTTCTCAACTAATATATATTAAACAATTAATAAATTAACTCCACAATCAAATAGCGCAAATTAATTGCTAAAGGAACTAAAAAGTAAATAGAGTTAATTAATTATGCATGATAATTAATAAAACAAAATCATTCAAAAAAACAATTTAATAAAACAGAAAAATAATTTTTCAAATTTTTTTTTTAATTTTTTTTGCAATTTTCAAAATTAAATATGTATAAAGATAATTTAAAAGTAAAATAATTCTGAAAACAGTAGGTCAAATCAAATATATAGAAAAATAAAACAGACAGTGAGGAACTGTCACGTGTCGCGTGTGCATAACATGTCACGTGTCGCGTTTGCATAACATGCACCTCGAAATATGTGTTCACACGCCTACACATGTGGCTCCTGTTCTACGTGTGGCAGGCGCATGAGCTCCATGCGCCACGCGCACCATGTGTCACGTGCACCACCTGCACGCCTTGCATGCTATTAACATCAACTGCACACAATGCGCTGCCGCCATTCGCACCACATGTGGAACCAAGCCGAGCCACGTTGAGTTGCACCGCACCACGCTGTGTCAGCTTCCAGAATCTCCCATTTTCACAAAATTTATCTAAAACAGCGATTTTAACCCAAAATTTTTTTGAAAAGCAATAATTTTTTCAATTTAACTCCGATTAAAACCCATTTTGTATGGATTGAAAACTTACGAAGAATACTTCCATAAAATATAAATTTCGTTTATAGAAAACGAAATTTTTTTTACTGTTTTTTAAGATCAAAAAACTGCTCTTATAGAGTTTTCAAAAATATAGGGTTTCTTAAATCTTTTTCAACATGCCATGATATACAACAATATTAAAGTAGAAAATATTCACTTTAACATGAATAAATCTAATCTATGGCATGCAAATCATGAAGCGAAAACAAGCAAGTTAAGCTCTGATACCAATGAAGGAAAATAACAAGTACACAAATTACCTCAAGAGAAAAAGGATTTGGATCAGATTACTTGAATTACGAACCTCGTGTTGCTAATTGAGAAACTACTTGAGTTTCTCAATATTGTACCCACACTCCAAATCCCTAGGTTCAACAATGGTGACCTAGGAAGGAAGAACAAAGAAATATTTTCCGCAAAGATTTCTCGAGTAAACTCCCACACTCACATGACATTTTCTCTATATCAGATATATTATATAGAGCACATCTTTGCAGATTTAAGTGGAGTTGTAGACTTCAACAACAGCTCTAACACTTCCAAAGATAATCCCTTAATTATCTTATTTATATAACGTATGAATTATAGATAATTCATGTGGATGCTCCATGGGTAATGAGTCTAGTCCGATCCGACCCAGTTTCCAACAATTTTCACCAAGGTAAAAGACATTATGCTCCTACCTTGACTGGTGTTCTGTATATTTTTATTTTACTTATTTAATTATTTATTTATTTTGAAATTTCAATTTACAAACCTATTCTTATTCTGTAAGGCCTATTCCTACGAGTGTGAGGGAAGGGGAGCCACTAAGTTAAACTCATGTAACTTAGCTGAATATGCTTTATAAACTCTACCACTATATAAAAATTAAACTACTCCATTAAAACTTCTTTAAAATCTACTCAAAAGATAAACAACTCAAACTTTTTAACACATTCTAAACTGCTACTCGACTCATTTACAAGCCTAATCAGTACTGTTTTGTAACCTCACATTTGCTATTTTTCAATGTATCAAAACTGCATCTTCTATTTCCAACATAAAATATGTGCAGCATTTTCTATTTTCTCATTGTTTTTATATTCTCAAAGTAAAAGATTTTTTGAAGAGCCAAAACTACAACGAAAGCAACACTCATCAACTGCTATGTTAGACTTGGCTTGCTCACAAACACAAAACACACACCAAGCCTACTAATCTACAGAATGAAAGCTTCACCGGAATCAATTCAGCACAAAGTGATACAGAACAAAAAATAAGAGTGCAAATGCATAATAAAGTAAAGAAGATTCCAATGTTTGTGGTGTAAAGCAAGTGGTGTAGCAATTGCTATCCATTCCATATCCCAAAAGTCTAGCGTCAAAGTATCTTTACACGAATTGCATACCAAATTATCAATTCTTGAAGGTATCAATAACGATTAAAGTAACAAAGTGAAATACTTTTCCCAGTTCTAAGCATATAAAACTAACAGAGGTCCAAATTCACGAGACTAATCACCTAGTAAGATAGTATACGATCAGGAAAATGACCACAAAAGCCGCTACAAGTGTAAACATTCTCCTGCTGGATTTGGTCTCAAATACCTAAAGAAATTAAGCTCATACTCAGTAAATGAACAGAAGCATGTCTTTGAACAAAGAGGAATATAACATATAATAGAAAAAGTAGGGGGCAGAGAGACAGAGAGAGAGCGAATTGGTTTTAGGTACCATCTTGAATTTATCCATGGTTCCTGACAGGATTCCCCTTGATGCATCCATATCATTGCCCTAAATGACAAAAAGCAACATATTCATGATCAACACAACAACAACAACAGTAGTAGTAGTAGTAGTAAATACAAAATTTGAGGATTATGGCTGCAGTGTACACACCATGCGGTCCAACATACGATTATGACCCTCCACTTCCTCATGGATATCACCTGTCAACTGTCAAGTATTGAAGATTAATACTTGGAAGGAAATAATTCAAAATGCATGAAGCTCAAAGAGAATTAAAAGATAAACTCACTAGTATGTTCTAGCCACCTACCAAAAATAAAATAAAATAAGCACAAGTGTACATGTATCCTTGGATTTGAATCCTTCAAGGACTTGTATCCTACTGGTTCATTCTTCAATTCAATTTGGGATGATTGTGCTAATGGATAGCAAGGGATATATGTGTTGCATGATGGATTTCCCTTCAAGGTAATCATCTTTGTACACCAGATTGTTCCCTATGAGAGATCTTCCTGGATACGTATAGTAGAGGTTTAAGAGGACATTTTAGGCGAGACAAGACTTATGCTATGATTGAGGAAAAGTATTTTTTTTCCAAAACTGAGGTGCAACCTGTCAATATTCTAAAAGAGGAGTTCAAAATACTGTCTTCTACACCCCATTAATCATGCCTATAGCACCATGGGATGAATGGCATGGATTGCCAAGAGTTCAAAACTATGTTACCTAGAATGTGGATCATTCATGTACGTGGAACAGGAACAAGAATGTGGTATGCCACATGCTCTAGAATGTGGTATGATAGGGGTAGACTTGTATTTTATGCTTGAAAATTTAAAGAACTTCTAAAGTAATTTTATTTTTAACTATTAGGCATCCAATAAAATGTATTTTTTTATTTTATTTTTGATGTTTTTGTCTTGTCAAAACACAACTCACCTTAGATTTTAGTTCATTATATTTGATTATTTTTCTCCTAAGGTAACATTTCAAGAAATATATTGGGAAAAAAAATAAAAAAACCTTGAGATTGTTTCGGATTACTAAGTTTACCGTTTTGAAACGGAATTGTACCATGTTTCGGAACATTTGTACCAATACGTGATTCATTAGAGTATTAGCGATTTTGATAACACAGGTTCAAAATATCAGCATGGCCTTTGTTATGGGATTGCCTAGAAGTCAAAGGGGAATGGATTCTATATTCATGGTGGTTGATAGGTTTTCCAAATTGGCTCACTTCATGTGTTGCAAGAAGACTTATGGACACATCCATGTTGTAAACTTGTATTTCCGTGAAGTTGTTTGCTTGCATGGAATACCAAAAAGAATCACATCGGACCGGGATTCCAAGTTCTTGTCACATTTTAAGAGAGCCCTTCGGAAAACGCTTGGCACTAGGCTCCCATCATCCTCGAACTAATGGACAAACAAAAGTCATATAGAAGCTTGGGAAATTTATTGCGTTGCTTAGTAGGAGATAACCCTAAGACAATAGGAGGCAGTCATCGCACAAACAAAGGAACTGTTGCTAGTTGTCATGTTCTTGGAATAGTTATAGAGAAGGCAACCTAACCATTTCTATGCTCTGGCTCCCATATCGTAGATTAGCAAGGGTAATTTGAAAGGCAAGATCATATAATTGTAACAATGGAAAAATTGAACCATGAGATCAGGTTGAAAAATGAAGAGTCAAATGCTAAATATAAAAAGTAGGCAGATAAAACAAGAATGTTCCAAAACTTTCACAAAGAGGATATGTTGATGGTTTATCTACCAAAAAAACAAAAAGGAAGAGGAAAAGAAAAAGAAACTCCCAGCTGGCTCTTATTCCAACCACGATAAAAAGAAAAATGGGCCTAATCAGATCATCAAGAAGATTGGGGGCAACGCTTATGAGATTGCTTGACCTCAGCTATTGTGATGCAGCACACATAGGCTTTCAAGAAATCTTAAGCTAATTTTAGGTTTATGTTTAGTAGAATAATACTAAGAGCTGTTTAGGACTTGGTTGTGAAAGGATTGGGCTCAAGGAGAAAGGAATTTGGTGGCAAAATAATGACTGTTTATAGGCCGTGAATAATAATCCGTGAATACTAACATAAAAAATAGAGAAGAGGAAATCACTCCTAGAATCCCTTATAGAGTTAGGGTTGCATCACACAAACCCAAAAGAGGCACAAAACTCTAGAAAATTATGTAAAAATCTTATCATTATTGAATTAGAAGAAGTAAATAGCTTTACATAGAACTGGGAGAGGAGACTTCCTTAACCAACCAGAACAACAAAATGAAACAACTAAAAAGCCTTTTAACTTATAAATCTTATTTATTCCAAAACAATAAAAGCAAATAATAACTTAACCAACAAGACGACTCATCAGCAACCCCTGAAGCCATGTCAGCAATCTGAAAATTACCAAGAAAACCCCTGACTTAAAAACTCTAGAAAACATAAAATAATTATAAATAAGACTCTAATAACAGTAGAAACATGACTATGTATGGTTCTTATCCATTTCTCTTTGAAATTGTGTCAATTTTCAAATATTGTCACCTCTTTGAATTTAATCTTCCTTGAGTTTCTTATACTCCAGATCATTAATTTAATCTGGCTTGAGCTTCTTATAATACTCTACATCAACTTGGGTATTGACTCTATGTTTAATGTTCCAGATTTATATCCATATCATGGGAGAGTGGGTGAAGAAGCTTCAGAAAGCCATTAAACTCGATGTCGAGTTCATTTCCCAAGGAGGAGGAATCAATGCAAACTCCTGGTGGTTCCTAGGAAGAGCTATTGTTCTTAGTATTTGAAGAGTCATTCGTGTAACTTGTTAAGGTATTAAATAAGGTGTGGGAATACAAAAAGGCTACTTACAGAAAGAAAATGAGAGTTCAAGGAGTTAGTATAAATAGGGCAGCACAGAGTATAGAATCAGAATTTCAGCATATTGTAATCAGAAAGTTCAGAACTAAAATAATCCAGAATATAAAGTTGGTTGCTGAATTAGCTTCTAACATTTATCTTTCAACACTTTCCAGATTCCCCTTTCAAAATCTTGACTCCAACAGTTATTGATTTCTTCGTTGCTTTACTAACAGAAGATGAGCATAACCATATATAACAAGAAGAAAAAATCTTCAGATTGGTGATGATTAACCAAGTACATACAAGCCTGTCAAAATATTTTACAATTGCATAAACCATCAAACTTATTGCCCAAGATAGAACTTACTCTTTTCAGCATATTGACTCTATCTTGTAACCCATCCATTGCTCTATCATTGTCATGCTCGTCAATTTCATGGGAGGAGTAAGAAGACGAGGCCCTGATGCCACCCTCCTCAATGCCATCAAAAAGTGCAGCTCTATTATTACGGAACTCCCTGTATTTAAAGAATATTACTTAGAAGTTCCAGAGAGATTGGATGGTAGATTGTAAACAAAAACTAAATGATAAGAATTAACAGTCAATGAAATTTCAGCTTCTCAAATATTATTTCGTAGGATTTTTCCGGCATTGAAGGCTATGCATATAAATTTTCCCACTTGAGAGAGTACATATGTTATTCTTACGGGCAAGACTCACAAACCCATGACTAGCTGAACGTGAACCCTGCACCTCCCCTCTTTGGAGGTGGCAGTAGACACTACTCAAGCTAACAACTGGTGTTTCTAACAGGCATTTTTTAAAGCCGCACCAAACTGGCCAATTCAACCAATTAAACCTTCAACCAGTGTTCATTCCTCTTTGGATTCCATACAACCATTTAAAACTAGAAACCATACAAAACCGGCAAAAACCAGCCAAAATTGTCCAAAAACCAGAACTTGGGCAAACCGATACTTGTTTGCCACAACCGGATGAGCTAAAGCCAAGCTTGTTTAATGCTTTGTGCTTTATGCCTCAACTTTTTATAGCCAAAGTGTTGAGTTTTGAGTTCCTACAGTTTCGATGTGAGACTGGCGAGCCTTTTATAGCCACTAGCTAAATTTTATTAGATTTTTTTTTCTTATATAAATTACTTACTAAACCATTTAATCCTTACTCAATGTAAATGCCACTGAAATTAACTTATTTAGGGACTTAATTTATATATTTTGTTGCTATGTATTGAAACTTGTTAAACTAAATCAATGATTTAATTTATATATTTTGTTTTTAAGTATTAGAACTAATTAAACTAAAACAATGATATTCGCACTACTTGATTTTAAAGTTTGAGGCAAAAGGAGATGGCAGGATGTGATTTATTATATATGCAATTTATAAATAAAATAAAAAAATTATAATAAAACATCAAAACAAATATTTTTAAGAAACTTGATTTACTGTATTTTCACTAGTAATTTTAGTACATAAATTTTTATTTACATATTTAAAATTTATTTATGACGTCATGGTTTTCCGGTTGAATCAGTGACCTTTGATACCGTCCTTTTTCTAGTTCGCTCAACGGTCCAGTATTTAAAACATTGCTACCAGGACACATATCAGTCATATTTGTAATCTTATCAAGCAAGCTTTCAGATGAGCATCTAACAATCCAGATGACTAGGGGCATTAACCAAACTGAATAGCAGCATGGGTTCGGCTTGCGTTCAGAATGTTTACGAATTGTTTGAGCACAAGTCATAGTTGAGCAAGGGTACAGGATATGTGTCTAGCATGCTTAGTTAGACATGAACAGACTAAGTATGTAGTCAAGTTTACTGTATAAATTTTATGAAACTCAACCGAGACAAGCTTAAGTGACATGTTTGTCTCAACTCAATTCGTTTGCATCCTTACATACGACTTATAAGGGAATAATACGAATCACAGGTTTAAGCTTCAAATGTCAAGTTAGAAACAATTGACAACCTACAACCTTAATGTATGTTTCCTTCATTTAAGAAATGAAAGCATTGTGCATGTGCACACATACATCATGTGCTTTCTATGTGACAATTTTGGCTTTGTTGTGTGTGTGTGTTACAGAGAGGTGGATTTCTAAGTGTAGGTAGATTTGAAGTGACACCCATTACTACGACATGTTGCACAAGATGTACACAATGATCAAGGATAAAACAAAAATCAAACAAGGGGAAAAAAAAAACCAGGGACAATTACAACCAAAAAAAAACTTTCGGTTTGAGACTTCTAAAAAAATAAATCCTGAATTTTCAATTTTGTCAATTTAAATCCAAATCTTTTGATTTGTTTTTAATCTAAACCATCGCCTATTTTTGTCAAGTAAAACCGACGAAAAACGAATATTTTAGCTATTAAACTCAATGTAGATATACATAAAATTTCTAAAATACCCCTTTTCATTGAATTTAATAACTACACTACCCATTTCCCATAGATTTTACTTAATGGAAATAGACAAATGGTTTAGATTGAAAACAAATCAAAAGTTAAAAGTTTAGATTGACAAAATTAAAAACTTAGGGTTTATTTTGTTACAAGGGTCAAGCACTGGGGGTTTTTTTTTTAAAAAATAATTTTCCGAAAAAGCATTTTTCTTTAAGAGAAAATCTCCAATTATGGTTTTTACTTTATTATCACTCCATAATACCTCCTCCATAGCATTGGACCAAGGATGCTCAATATAAACTTCATACCTAATTTTATTTTCTCAATTTTTGGATACTTTAAGAACTCTTTTTTGCCTATAACAACATAACAAGTCATAATAGGACCCATGGATACCATGATACCATGAAAGCTGTTGATAACTTAATATTAGAATCCATAACCAAAAAAGAAAAAAAAAACTAGAATTTATAAATGAGATAAGTGCATATAATAATACTTTCAATCCAAAAGGATATCACAAGTGCATCATTAGGACATGCCACTACCAAAAGATGCAATGTAAAATTAAATTCGAGTTATAAAAAATAAAAATAAAAAAAAGAATTATAAAAAGTTTATGTCAACATACATTCTAACTAGTCATGTAATTAGCAGGCGTAAATCTTTTCAACAAGAAAATACTTGACAATAATAAAAAAAATATTTTATATATCTAAAAACCAGAAGAAAAAAAAAATCGAATATAAAAGGCTATTACAGAACTCAAATCAAAGACAAGGTGAAGAATTTTCTTTAACAGAAGATTGCAATTTGTAACACCAAAAAGATCAGATGGAAGATGAGAATAAAGTTCAAATGAACTAACTAAATTACGAAACCATCATACAGACCAACCACAGACTATGAGAGTACTCTTTGATTGTACTGATGGGGTAATTTTACGTCAAGTATCACCTTTTGAAAGTCCCCAACTTCATATGGTCGCCAAAAGAAGTAAAGTGGACAATACTTATATTTCATACAAGTAATGCAACCTTTATTACCTCTAGTTCAACCAACAAGTGGCAGGGATGAAGCATTTCTAAATATCTACAAAGTATAATGCTATTACCAAAGTACCTTATATAAAAATTAAAAAATATATATAAAAAAAATAAAAAATAAAAAAAACAAAACAAAACACCCGATGGAATATGTAAAAACTAGATCTACCACAGAAATATCCCAAAAAGTCAAGGTTTCACTTATAACGTAAAATTAAGATTGCTCCTATATATGCCAGGACTATAGCTCATGAGATTCGAGCCTGATAATCACAGAATTTAAGCCACCGTTGAAATCAAACCACAAAATCTTCACCTGTGTGAAATCACAAATTCAATCCCCTCAAAATCACATATTCAAACACTAATGTTGTGTTTGGTTGAGGGATTTGAGGAGAGATTTAGAAAGAGAAATTAAAAAGGTAGGTGAAATGTGAATAAAATGTACATATATTTCACCTACTTTCACACACCTTTTCCCTTTCCCTTTCCCTTTCCAAATCTCCCAACCAAATACTAAGATGCATCTATTTCATGGTGTCACCTAAGAATAAAAAAAAAAAAAAGTTCCATTCAACTTCAAGCAAGCATACCACTAGTCCTGCAATAACTTTATCTTTCTTTCTCAGTGGCAAACTAAAACCCTACATGTAATAAATATAAACAAATCCTGATGAACATACTCAGAGCCTCTATACCTATCAATCAAAATCAAAATAAAAAATAAATAAAACTATTAAAGGCAAATATTAGATCAACTAACCTTCTAGCATTCATGGTTCAGGGGTGGAAAATGCCAGAAAAAGCTTCACGACTGTTCGGATTCTGTGATTCCATGAAGGAAAACCACATAAATCAATCAATCAATCAAAAAATTCAGACACGAAATCATGATTTTAAAAAAGAAATTCCCCTTCAAAAACATAGAAAATAACCCAATTGATCATAGTCATAGGGCTTTTACAACGAACAAACCTCTCCAATGCAGAAGATCGAATGAAATTAAAAAAATAAATACCCTGGAAAATCAGAAAATTCTAGATCTGATGAGAAAAACAATTAGAGAGTAAGATGAAAATAAAACACAAGGTCAAGAGAGATTTTTTTCAATGTAAAAGGCATTGTTTCTATCAACAAAGGGTTTTCTCTCCTCTCCTGTTAAAATAATACCACTCCTGTTTCTGTCTTTCATCTCCATCTGATTGCTCCTTTTTTTTATTTTTTATTTTTTTTAATTCTGTTCTCTTTTGTATTTCTTTGTTCTCCTTTTCAAAAGACACCAACAAACTATGCATACAACTTTTGTACACGGTCATTCAATTCAATAGAGAAAGAGGTCAACAGAGAAAGAAAAACAGTCAATTCCTCGCATCAAATAGAGAGAGACAGAGAGAGACAGAGAGAGAAACCTTAAATTCCAAGCATTAAACAGAGTTTACTGCATACATTCAATGGAGTTTCCTTGCCTTACTTGACGATGGATGTGAAGGCAGCGATCGATATATCAAACTGAGAGAAGAAGAAGAAGAAGAAGAAGGAGGAGGATTGATTACGGAAACAAGAACTGGAGTGCGATTTGGGCATCTAAATTATTAAAAAATAAAATATAAATGGAACGCGTTTTCGGTCCCACCGTTATTTTTTATTATTATTTATTTTCTTTTTGGCAAACTACATCCCATCATTTTTGCCATTTTTAATTGGGAAAATTTAACCAAAACTTTTTCATTGAACGCTTGTTTGGTAAAAGAGATAATTTAATTTAATTTATTTTGTTTTATAAATCTCTAGAAATGAGATGCATAATTGAGTAAGAATAAAATAATTTCTTTGACCAAATCCCCCTTTTAAATGTGCATTAATAATTAAGCACAATGATATGACAATGGCATAAAATAAAATAATATTTTTTATAGATAATATAATTTTTTTTTAATAATAATCACAATAATAACATTTATAATTAAAATAAAAAATACTGATTATTTATGAAATTATCTTAAAATTTTATTTTTCCAGCTCACCTTGCTTCTGGTCTATTGTGAATACTTTTTAAACCTTTCAGCGAGTAGAAAGTGTAATCAATCACTCTCGATGAATATTACTTCTACTTGTATCACTACTCTTAGACCTCTAGAAAATTAAATGACTATAGGCAAAGTGCCTATGGAAATGGAAAATTTTTATTGAATACTTAAAAACTACAGAGATTACAAGAAAGACAGAGAGAATAATCTTGCTCACTTGTTAGACTCTACTTCTTGACTCTACTTTTACAAGACACAGCCACACCGTTTTATAGGCAAGCTTCAACTTCGGAATTGAAATATATAAAATTAAAAAGATAAGATTCTTATAACAAGATAAGAAACCCTTTATATTTTGATTTATTAAAAACTAACAACTTAGTAGTGGTATCTCCGTCATTTTAATTTTATTCAGCATGTGACTCATTTGTCTTTATTCACTATGTGATCCATTTTTATTTTTTATTTTTTATTTTTTTGTGTCTCATTGAATGTATTTGTCATGTGAGCTTTCTTTTGACTTCTTCTGTCATGTGAGCCTTACTTGGCTATGTCTCATGTGACTTGTCTAAAACATTCATGCCTTTGATTTGTCATGTGAACTTCTGCCTATTTTTCAGAAATGCAGTGATTCATTTCTTGCATTGATTCATAAGCAATTTGGGCTCTCCTCTTGATTTTTAGAGTTCCAAAACATGTGCAGAGATGTCTACTGCTTCAATTATCTGTTCTTGGAGTATTTTGAGAATTTCATTTGCTTTGTCTTCTCCTAGCATAGAGGGTTCAATGAAAGCTTTTTCGCTTCTTACCACCACAACTCTCTTCCTATCACAAAAGATTGCTGGTTTTAAATCTTGGAGAAGAGTTTCCAATGCATTATGGAAAAACAAGAGTCTATCAATTTTTGTCGATGATAGGATCATATCCCTTCCATGATCTTTTGTTTTTACTATGGTAGAAAGGATTTTGATTGGTTATTGGGTACCGATACCATATCTGATATGGTTGATAAAACTAAGTTTCTGTTCTTTCAGCTAGAGTGGACATGATATGTGCCGTAATAAGTGTTAGGCTTGCTCCCATAATTGTAATAGCATATTTAACTATTGCTGGAAATTCATTTAAGAGCTGAAAATCTTCTCTATCAATTTTCACAAAATTAACAATTTCAAGTTCAATCTAGTGTATATTAATTTTATCCACGGATAACTTAAGACTTGACCAACCATAATCCCAGTTTAAAGATTCTGCTAAGGATGGCATACGAAGTATTTTTTTTTGTGTTCATCTTGTTTTTTGACAATTTGTTTAATTTTTTCAACCAACTCTTTTTTTGGGAGGGGGGGAGTTTCTATTTCTTTTAAAATGAAAATTCTTTTTTTCTTTTTTTTTCAATCATTTTTTCATTATTGCGGATGATGTTAAGCTCCTTTCTACAAACCCAACATAATCAGTAAGAACACTAATAATTCTACATACATTTTCACAAAATTAACAATTTCAAGTTCAATCTAGTGTATATTAATTTTATCCACGGATAACTTAAGACTTGACCAACCATAATCCCAGTTTAAAGATTCTGCTAAGGATGGCATACGAAGTATTTTTTTTTGTGTTCATCTTGTTTTTTGACAATTTGTTTAATTTTTTCAACCAACTCTTTTTTTTGGAGGGGGGAGGGGAGTTTCTATTTCTTTTAAAACGAAAATTCTTTTTTTCTTTTTTTTTTCAATCACTTTTTCATTATTGCGGATGACATTAAAGCTCCTTTCTACAAACCCAACATAATCAGTAAGAGCACTAATAATTCTACATACATATTTTCGTTTATCGTAGAGCAAACCAATTTTTTTTTGAAAAGTTTGCTACTTTTTTTATGCTAGTCTTGGATTATAAAATGATTTTTCGATTATAGTCGAAAGTTCTGCTACATCTATGTCTTCTAGTTCGGAGATTAACTCACATTTTCGCTCCTTTGATGATTCTCCTTTTAAGAATCCATTTGAATTTTTTGGTTTAAAATTCGGATTTTGTCTCTTTACTGTCGTTGTTTCAGTCGTACACACTTTGTTAGTTGAAGCATTTTTTGAATCCTTCCACCAATAGTTTTCAGTTTTATGGCCTGGTTTGTTGCAATTCTAGCAAAATAACATGAGTCTCTTTCCTTTGTCAGCTGAAGTTGTGATTTCATGCACCATAAAACTCATAAAATTAATTCCCTAGTTACAAGATCTACAATGGAATTTTTCTCAGAAGAAATATATTCAACATCAAAGCTAAAATAATGAAACAATTACTGCCATTTGTATAGTCTGCTTTGACTTACATCTCTTAAATATTTTTTTCAAAAAAGCCTTAAAACACTTATTATCTGTTCTTGTAATGAAATGTTCAGAGATTAAGAAAATATATATTTTTTAAAAAATATAACATTTTTTATAGTAAGAAATTCTTTTTCATTTATGTGGTATCTTGTTTCAGTATCTTTGAAACTACCACTCCAATATCCACATATCTGTTTTTCAGATTTATTAGGAGGTATTGATTTTAATATTGCTCCCCAATTACTCTAAAGAAAATCTGATTCTAAGATTAATTTATCTACTTGATTAAGTAAACTTAACTTAGGAAGATTTTTTTACTATTTTCTTGATATTAAATATGTTTTTAGTATCTTTTAGATTCCAACTCCAATTTTCTATTCTAAGCTTTTTGTTTAATGGGTTTACTAATTCAAATAAGTTTGGAATAAACTTTCTGGCATAGTTAAGTATCCCCAAAAATCGTTGAAGCTGTTTGACAACTCCTATCTCTTTAGGAAACTCTGTGACTTATTCAGAGATATAATCTTGAAGCGTAACTTTTTTGTTGTCATAATTACTAATCCCAACAATTTTATGAAATTCTTTTCCATTCAATTTTCATTTTAGATAGCACTAATCCATGATCTATGAATTCTTGAGCTATTATTTTGAGATGGTTTCAATGTTCCTCTCTAGTTTAGAGAAAACTAAAATATCATCTAAGTATACCATACAATATTCTCTATGTTTTCGAAAAATATTATCCATTCTTCTTTAGAATAGAGGTGGAGCTTGTTTTAAGCTAAATGGTAAAATCAACCACTTATAATGTCCTTGCGAAGTACTAAAAGCAGTTAGGGAAATAAAATTTTCTTCCATTCGAATTTGCCAATAACCACCTTTTAAATCAAATTTAGAAAAGAAATTGGCTAATTGAATTAATGTCCTTGCGAAGTACATCAAATTTGATGTCCTTGCGAAGTACATCAACTTCCACAACCACTAATTATCATTACTTATACTCATCTTAACCAAACATATTTCATGAATCTAATGTCAATTGAAAACATTCTTCATTTCCAAAATAAATTCCACAACTAGGGTTAGGCATAAGTTAGGGCTTTTTACTTAAAAGCATAAAATCTTGTTCTAATCACTTAAAACTTCCTTAATCCAGCTCAATTTTTCATTTAATTTCTCTATTTTGGAAACCCTAACTTTCTTCACATGCTTTGTGAAAAATCTCCTCAAGATAAGGTTTTTTATTTTATGCAATAGAAATCTATCACCTATCTATCTATAAGATTATATTGATGAGAAGCAAGGAAAATCCCTACCTTAAACAAGAAGAGGAAGAACCTGAAATTTCAACTTCAACGAAAATACGATTTGCTTGGATGGATCGAAAGCCCTCAACGTACTCTTCATTTTTATATAAGGAACATGGGGTAGAAAATGAAAGAAAAGAGATGAAACCCAAGCTTGAATGCTTGAAACTCACAAAAATGGTGGAAAAGAGAAAGAAAAGAGAGAAGGAGCAAGAGAGAATAAAGAAAAAGTGGACCAAAAGTGACTTTTAAATGTGCAAAATTCGGACACTTCGCTCGAGCAACCAATCCTTCGCTCAAGTGAACAATACGAACTCCTAGAAGTTCAAACCAAATAAGGCAAACCGCTCGAGTAACCACTCCTGCACTCGAGCGAACATTGAGAACTCTCATAATTTCAGACCTGCAAAAGTTCGCACGAGCGCAAGAAAGACCACTTGAGCGAAGAATCCAAACTCCAAATAGTTTTACAGACTGCAAAAGACCACTCGAGTGCAAGAAGCATCGCTCAAGCGAACAAGTAAAATTCTTGGCAACAACTCTTTGAAAAACTAACTTCCCAACCTCTTTCAAATACAACCAAGACTTCCAATAGTCAAACCCAATCAACAACAAGGGGGAAAACAATAACAATATGGGAATAAACTGAACCATAGTTAAATACACGGGTTCTCGGATTCAAAAGCAATAAATGGGTTGGGTCTAAACCAGAATCATTATAACTAGAATGATGACTTTTACTTGATTGTATTAACCCTTGTTTTAATAAGTCAGGATTTTGTTTTTTAAATTCCTTAATCATTTCAAGACTACGGGATGGTTTGAGAGTTCTAAATAAGTGCATTTTTTGACTTTTTATAATAATAAAAAAATGTGTAGAAAAGTAAAGAAAGTGGGTAGAAAAGTACAGAGGAGATGTTGATTAATGTG